GGAGTTCCCAGTATGAGTTCTGAATCCAGAAACGGATTATTGGTTGTTGCTGCTGTTGTTGCTGCTGCACCGCTTAGGCTCAGAGGTAGCAAAGGTGATACGCCAAATGCTGCCGCTTTTATAGCTGCAGCTGTTGCAACGCTGATAATCGGCATTTGGAAGGAAACAAGTGCCGAATTCGAGAATAATCCGGTTAGCAACGGCATTTTGGCACCGAGTAATGATGCCGGCAACGTAGCTGCGATTGGATTAACTCGGTTAGCAACTTCCGCTAGCTGCTGCAGTGATGTCAGTAGACTCTAAAGATGAAAAGATTAAAAAATTCAATTAATTTTTTCACTTGAAAAAATCAGTTAAAATTAGAAACGATAAATAAATCAATCTTATAATTTCATCTAAGATCTTTTTCATCGTCAAAATCTAGGCATAACAATGAAATACATTTTCGGAAGCTCCCATATGAGCAGGTACCATTATAATTTATACAGATCTGTAAATTTTCAATATTTTGACGGATATAAATAATCGCAATCGGTTAAGTGTATCAGTGGATTCTGCCAAAGATTCTACAACTTAATAGAATGAATATTACCTGTTGGTAAAAATAAGCATTCAGCAAATTCTGCGCATAATATTTATAGTCGTCGCTTGTAAAAGATAATGAATCGAAAGCAGCACCTACAAATGCTGCCGAACTTGTCGGTGATGATAATGTAAGTAGTGAATTTTGATTGGTATTATTATTATTTGATCCAGAAGTACCTAAAATAGCTGCTGCTGCTTCTGCTAAAGTTGATTTCGACAAATGATGGCTTAATGTCGGAGTACATGGCTGTGGTTTGAAAACTGATTGTGTCGAGATCTGGAAGTAAATTTAATGATAAGCAAATGTTTCAATAATAATTTATCATCAAAACACATAACAAATAATAATTTTATCTGTTTATGCTGTTAAAGTAAACAATGAAATTTTATTACTCACCAACAATGAATCAGTAACACTAGCTCGAAATTCATTACTACTACTATAAGTACTATCAAATGAACAGTGAGCAGGACTTGTACTTCCGCTGTCGTCACTAATTATTCCACTTCCATCCGTGAATCCATTAGTATCAGCTCTTACTGCTGAAATTAAAAGTGAAATATTTTGAGAAAAATAACAGAACACAAATTTTGGTTTTTCTTTTTGTCATGGAATAATTTCTTCTACATATCAGATTGCTGGAAAAGATAAGTGACAATTTCCATTGCAAATAGGCAGAGAAATAAATATTCAAAGATAACAAATTACGGTTTCAAACAGATTCTAATACAATAAAATGACACATTTATTTATGCATTTCTTCAAAAAATAATCAACAAAATTAATGATGTTAACCACTAAATCCATAATGCTTACTACTGGCTAACACCATAATTGTTTATTTTATATGGGCTTAGGGTAGTTAATTCATTAATTAGATTTATCATTATTAAGTCAAATTATCAAGAAGTTAAAATAAACTATTTTCACAAGATAAAAGAATAGCAAAATAAGTTTGTTTTGTTGAAATAGGACAACAGATTGCTATGCTTTTCATGCATAATTAGTATACAGTATACTGAACAAAGAGATTTCAATAATCCGTAACAGAACTAATAATGTCGCATGGATGGCTAACATTATTATTAACAAATGTATTATAGGATGCTATAACTAAACTATAATCCATCATTAGATGATTTGATAGATGGAGTAAAAAAGAAATTTAATTGTTGAAATCACTGTTTAGAAGGAGAAATAATTACCACAATTCAGGATACCATTCGCGGTACCATCAATAGACGATAAACGACCATTAAATTGGCCACCTGCTGCAGCTGCACTTGTTGATGCGCCTGAGCGATTTGTCACTCGGTTACGTCGTCGTAACATTTGTTTATCATCTAGCTCTGGTACAACTGTCCAGAAATGACCTAAAATTTGATATCAATTTAAATAAATACCGGAAAAGGGAGACAGATTTCAGCTTGTAATCTCGAATTGGAAATATCACCGACATCTGATATAACTATTGAAATTTCAAAGAAAATGAAGAAAATAGAAAAAAAGCTATAGAAAATTTAAAAAAAAAATAAAAACTAGGAAAACATTTACCAACAACACCGCTAGCAGATGTTTGTTTTAGAGGTAATTTAACGAAGCAATCATGCAAACTCAAATTATGACGTATCGAATTTTGCCAACCCCACTGATCCGGTCGTAAACGATAATATGGATGTGTCATACGGATCACCTGTAATTTGTTGACATTATCTGAAGAAACAATTACTAATAATATGTGTATTATGTTTTTAAACAATCAATAATGAAATTTATTTATTTTTTTTGCGAATGATGAAAAAATTCCCTATTATACATAAACAGTATAAAATCTGAAACAAAAACTTATTTCCTAAAATAAAATGGAAGATAAAGAAACATAAATATAGAAATCAGTGGATGTAAGCTCATCCTACAACTTTTGGATCAATTTAGGATTTTTTTTCATACAACTTGTGGTATTTGAAAATCAAGATGAAGAGAGAAAGACAGAGAGAGAGAAGAAGAGAAGGGAAAGAGAAAAGGAAAAGAGTGTTTTCTCTCAGAAATCATGACTGACAAATCTAGTTATAATTAATAAGTCATCTTACTATTATCTTTTTCATATTCCCATCAGATCTTACTATTATCTTTTTCATATTCCCATCAGACATTTCAAGACCAACTGCTATCATTTTCTGAGAGAGATTTAATCCAAGCAATAAAGAAAATTAAAATATAAAAATAAAAGTTATTAAAAAGCGGAACAAAAAGTGGAAATTTCCATGTTTTGCGTTTCTCCCTATTTCAAAATTTAAATCTAAAATTTTCCTTTTTTACTTTCAATATTTCTTAGAAAAAATAAGTATCAATAAATGAACCAAATGTTTTTGACAAACAGAAGATTTCTTTCTTTTTCTTCATAAAAAATTATAATGCTATTAGAAAAAAAAAATGAAACGGAAATCTAAAATATTTTTCTGCGATGTTTTTTTTTGCTTTGTTTTGCTTAGGAAAATCCATGAAAAGCATTTCGGAAAATCATAAAAACATATGTTTTTTTTTCCTTTCCTTCCAAAAAAAATTTTTTCTTTTTCTATTTATGACAAAAAAAAAGAAAGAAAGCATACTTGATAAATTTCATTCAGTTTTAACCGTTTTTCGGGACTACTTTCAATGGCCTCAATGATAAGATCTTTATAGCTTAAACTTGGCCGTTCAGCTTTTTCCATCGTCGCTAGTGATGGATCAGTAATCGATTTGCTATTAACGCCCGGACCTGCGGCAATTCGAATCCTTGACTCGGGAGTGGTACTAGGCTGTTCGACGGTTGACGAAGACGGTGATACGGTTGCCAACTCATCAATTAGTGGTGTAGGCTCGGATTTCACTGATCCGGTGCTTTTGTTATCTTCCTGAATATCGGACATAATACTGCTATTAGCAATATTGCTACTGTTATTGCTGATATCACTGTTGTTACTATCGCTGTTGCTAATGTTGTCACTATTGTTGTTGCTATTATTGTTATTGTTGCTGCTATCGCTGCTGCTACTGTTATTTCCCAGAACTGCTGAACCAATTAAATCCATTAATTCCAGGGCGCTACCAATATTGGCAGCTTTTTGCGGTGATGGGGGACAGAACTCCAGCGTGATAAGTCCGTTGTTTGTCGGTTCAGGAATGTAATTCTATCTGATAAAGAGGACCTGTCTCTTCGCTTGAGCAAATTACTGATTTTTCCTGAAATATTAAAAATAAAATAATGGTAATCAAATTAAATAACCTAAATGTATATTCAGAGATTGAGAAAGGGAGAGAGAGAGAGGAAGGGAAAAAAAAATTGAACACGCGTACACATTTACACAAATTCCCGGGAAAGTAATGAAAGCATTTACTTAAATGATGCTTTAGAAAACTGTCAGTTATCCAAAATTATCAGTACTTTATTATTACTCTTTATTGTCTTTGTTTTTTCAATATTCATTTATTATTATTATTAATATTATTATCATTATTATTACTAGTTAATTACTGCATTGATAAAATGTTATATATTTGTACAGAACAGAAACATGTTTGGTGGAATAATACTATGATAGTGTTGTGAAGGACAAAATGATTAATGGACAGCATTAACGGAATTAGCTGTCATGAAAGTAAAGTAAAACGCGTTCGCTATATAATGAAGCAATAATCCGAAGATGATTCACATCGCTATATTAGAATTAGTATGAATCATTACAACTAACTTTAGGATAACGATTATAATATATGGGAAATATAAATAATTAAATTATGAACGAAAAATTGATCATCTCCTATAATTTAGCAGGAAGAGCAAAACTGATTAATTAGATAATGAATTAGGGAAAATGTTTTATTCAATTAAATTAATATCTACACTTTCAATTGTGGATAACGAGAAAATAAGAGCAGATATTAACATCAAAGTCTCTTCGAGATATTTATACATTATATTTCTCTTCTTTGCGGATATGGGTTTATTATTCACTTTCAATATTGAAAAATGGAGAGAAAAAAAAAATAAGAGAAAAAGAAAAAACTTTCCCGGGCACTTTTTTTTTTCATTTTTAAAACAGAAAAAAAAAAAACGGAGAAAAGGATTGTTCGATATTTCGAGGTGCTTTTCTATTCCAAAAGTATCAATCCTTATCAAAGAAAAGCTGTGCATTAACCTGATTCGATTGTGGCTTAATTTTAAACCGACAACACAACTAATATTTAATCTTCCAGCAAAAGATGTACTTTGTTTTATCTGAAATCATGTCAAATAAACGTGTACCAGCAAAAAGTTTAATTTGAGATAAATGAGTTATTTTAATGAAACAAATAGTAAACAACAATGGAAAAGTATTAAGAGTAACATCAAAAGAATGAAAGATAAAAAAGAAATAGTAAAGAAATATGAAATAAGACATGAGGGGAGAGAGGGAGGGAGAGAGAGTGAACATAAAAAGAAGAAGGAAAGAAATTGGAGAGTAATTTCAAAGTAAGTATTGTTTTTTTCTTCGCCTTCTCTTTCTCTCTCTTTTCCTTGCTCATTTTTTGACGTTGTTATTGGAAGGACTACTTGCTTGATTGTTTCAATCCATTACTTTCGTCTTCTTATTGTAAAGGAAAAAACGAAAAAGGGAAGGAGAAAGAGAGAGAATTTGAAAAGATTTAGGAAGGGCTGAGGAAAAAAAAGGACAAAGTATAAAAAGTTGATGCAATTTTAGTGGAAAAGAGAGAGAGAAGGAAAGGGAGAGGGAAATGAATGTATAAATATGAGTATGCTGCTCGTTCAAGGAAGTACTAATATTTTTCCTTCCTACTTTCGCTTATTCAGCAAAAATATTAGAAAGAATATGATGTATTTGTGTGTGTACATATATATGTACGCATGTCCGTGTATGTGAGTGTGTGTTTCTGTATGTCAGAGTATGTGTATGTGTATTTATGTGAGAAGTTTCAGTTTTCATATTTTTCATTTGCTTCTAATGATATCTATCCAACCAACCCTTTTGTCTTTTACCTTCTACTTTTCTTGCACTTCTAGAAGAACAACTTAAGTTTGCGTCAACAAAGGACGTTATTGTTGTTGGACTGAAGTGGATGAGGAAGTAGAGATGAAGGAAAGAAAAGACGGAAAATGAAAACCGGAAAATAAGGAATCGGGAAGAGAATTTGTTGTGGGTAAAGAATGGAAGAGAGCCGAAAGCGGAAAAAACGAACTGAAATGGATGAGAGACAAAATGACGGAGGGATTAAATATACGAAACTGTGAGTGAAATAAAAATGTACAAAATGACAGAACTAAGCTAACAAGGTTCGATAGATAAAAATGGCACAAAATAGGTTAATATCAGAAGTAAGAGCACGAAGAGTGGAAAGGATATTTAGGTAACAGAAAATTTTAGATCGATTTTTGGTAAATTTACAAAAAAAGAGGATGAAAAAAACAGTAATAAAGAAAACAAAATGAGGAAAATAGATGATAATTTGGTAATTTATCGCCATTTTAACCTGTTTTATTCATCCAAATTATTTGCTTATTTACTGTATTTTACAATCTCTTTTCTTCTCTCCACCTATCTATCATTTCTTTCGAAGAAAAATGCAAGAAGAAAGGGTAGTAATTTAAATGAGAAGAAATGGAATACTCAAAAACCTGTTAATTTAAAAAATCGAATATGTTAATAGCTAACAATATTTGTTATTGTTCTAGGCAAACTTTCGAATAGTTCAAATGAAATGGATGAATGAATGAAATTATCGGCAGGCTTACACACTCACAGAAAGCATATATTTTCATCTGAGATGTAAAGCAAAAGATGTGTGAGAGATTTTTAACAAGGAAACTTATTTTCATTATATTGAAAAAGCACTTTTATCGTTTCAAATAGTTTTCTTTTCCTTCCCTTTTCCTTTACTTCCTTTTCTTCATCTTCTCTAAGTCGTTATTGCAATAAGGACATAATATCATGCCAATTATATGAATTCTGATACTTAATTTTATCGAGTATATGGAAAAGTATGAAGTTCAATAACAGCACATGAAAATTTTCGGAATAGTTTTAACATTGCCTCAAAACAATTAAAATACTTTGTAACAAATACATTTTCGTTTTCTTTTTATTTATTTATTTTCCTTTTGGTCGATGGGAGAGAGTAATACATCTAAATTTGTTATTTTTAAACTTGTTAAACAGTTAAGAAAAAAACTTTCATTGAAACAACTGTTAATAACAGCAGATACGTAAATACATATAGCTAGCTATTGATTTAAAATGACGGAAATTCTGATCACTTTTTTGAATAGCTAAAGATGGAACAAAATTACTATCAATTTGAGAAATTCGAAGGGATGAATTTAAGTGAGGAAGAAAAGGAAGTTTAAATAGTTTAAAATGATAAGTGGAACATGAAATCTTGTAACATTGTTATCTGGAGAAGAGAAAGGAAAAATGACGAAAAAGAGAAGATCGTATTTTATAATTTATAATAACAAGAGGAATGAAAAAAGTTTTTAACTTCGAAAATTATTTAACAGAAGTTAAATATATCACCATGAGTTGATTTAATCAAGTCAGCAAAAAAAGAAGCCAAGTCAAGTCAAGAAAAGAAATAAGCAGAAAAGAAATATTTCTTAATAAATAAGCAAGAAATAGAACTAAAAAATTATTTTTTTATAGAAATTCATAGAAAATGTATTGAAATGCTTGTTCCATTACATCAAATCATTAGAAGTGGGAAAACTGGCTAGTGTAATGTGAATTTCAAATTAAACAAAATATTAAACTTTCATCATTTTTTCTTCTCATTTCAATAATTTATCATATCGTTTCTACTTGTTGTTTTAAACGTTTTTTAACCTTAGATATGCTAATATGCTAATTTTTTTGACATTTGTTAAAATCAGATAAATTTAATTCAATTTGAAAGAGTGGGGACAAAAAATAAGAAAGCAAGGACAAAAAAACGACCTTTAGAAGGAAAAATAGGATAAGGACATTATATTTTCCTTAATATTAAAAGATATTTCATATTTCAAATGAATATTATCGAGACTTCATAAAGCTTAGTGAGATGCAAAAAAACTATGTGAAAACAACTGAACCATGAAAATTGAATACGCGAAAAAAATCATTTAATTAAGGCAAAACATTTTTAATTTTGTAAATGTCCTAAAAAAAGTTGGTTCGGTTCGAGCAATCATGATTGATTAACTATTTTGCTTTTGAGCCAAAATCAAAATGATTGAAATCTTCATTCCTGCCTTTTCTTCTTTTTCTTTTTTAAGTAGATAAGTAAATCTGTTTAGTTAGAAGAAAAGTTGGCTTTAAACATAAATGAGTAAAAAAAACTAAAGTGAAAAATATCTAATTAAATATAAATGGATATACCTAATTACAACTTTCACACATTTCGCACAGAATGGGTAAAATATGTGTGTAAAACTATTTAAGTAACAGATTAAGAACAAAAAAGCAGAAATATTATTAAGGTAAGAATTACTTCACATCCATATTCTTTCTTTTTGCTATTTATCTATCGTTTCATTTTTAAAATAATTCATTTCCAGAGTAATACATTTGTTTTCGTTTGCAGAAAAAATGAAAACACAGAAGTGACAATAAGCATTGATAGTAGCACAATAGTTAAAGAAATGATTCTATTGTTATAATTATAATTACAATTATTATTATTTATCACTGTCATTTATTATCATTATTATTGTCATTAATATTATTATTATCATTATTATTATTAATTATTATCATTTATTATTATTGTCATAGTAATCATTATAGTATTTTTTATTATTGTAGTAGTAGTAGTGAGAGAGTGAGAGTGAGTAGTTAGCAGTAGTCATAGGAGTAATATTGATAGTAATAACATAAAAAAATAAACATATAATTTATGTATCTCTATGTTGGAAGATAGCAACATTTCGTGTATCAATAATCATTCGATCTCAATCAACAATAAATAATCCGAAAATGTTGGCATGGGATACGACGGACTGTTGTTTGGTCTTCAGACTTTTTCCAAATGGATCAGTGAAGTCCAGTTGCCCAGTCTAGTTCAGTTCACACTCCAGTCCAATGTTTCCCTTCCTTTGCTTTCATGAGGAAAATAAAAAAAAAAGATGAAGCATAAAGAGTGGGAGGAGATAGGTTGACTAAATGAAACACACGGCTGGTTGTGCGGTGATGTTGGGCGCTACCCCCTCAACATATCTTTTTTCGTTTGTAGATTTTATTGATGAAATATATTATGAAAGCAGAACCCTCGTGCCATACCCCTCCACCACCACCACCTCCTCCTCCATCACCATCTCCTCCTGTCACCCCATCTTTTACCCATTCATTCACCCATCTATCCATTCCTTTCTCCTTTCCTTCCATTTCACAATCACTTTTAACGATAGCAAGACAATAGCATACTAACAACTACACACATACACACACACACACACCTATATATACACATACTTTTAAATTTTTGCTATTTTTAAAGACTAAAGATTAAAAATGATTGTCGACACAGCCGTTGTAGTTAGTTATTGTAGTAGTTTATCTGTGTATAATCTCTCTCTCCTCTTCTTCTCTCCGCCTCTCTTTTTCTCCCTTGTCATCATTTAAATGTTTGTATACATATTTTTTGTACAACAGCATTCAAGACGAAATCTTTTTTGTGGAAAAGAAATTTGTAATTCTTCTTCCTCTCTATTACTTTTTACTCTTTTTTCATCATCCCTTTCCTTTCTCTTTTATCTTTTAATATCTTCCTTGTATATGAGTTTCGCTCTTCCTTTTTTCTTTCCCTCTTATCATTGTCATTCATTATCACTTAATCTTCTTATTTTGTTCATTTCTTTCCTTTCTCATTTCATTTATTTTCTTCTCTTCTTATCTTTTTCCCTTCCTTATTAAGCATATTATCATTTTTGATTTCTGCCTTCTTATATACTTTTTCTCCCTCCTTCTCTCTCTTTCTTTCTCTCCTCTCATCTTTACTCTTTGTTAACCTGTTGTCTTCAGTCTTCTCCCTTAATCGAGAAATTTCGCATAATACTTTTCCCCTTTCGCTTTTTCAGAATATATACACATATCAAACATATTTATAAACCATTTCAAGTCGAGAAAATAAATCCTTTCACTTTTACCTCTCTTTCCTCTCTCTCTTTTCCCTTATGTTTCTTCCTCCCTTCTTATTATCTATTCCATCAAAAGAAAAAAATTAGTAACTAAAATTTGTGCAAACCATAATAATTTTTTTAAATTCATCAACAAAATACATATGAGAAGTTACATGCAGTAATACCTACATTAGTTCATTATACCTATTACAGTAATCGTTTGTTTAATTTATATTTTTAATGTCACCTTATATACACGATAAAATAAAACGAAGGGGGGAAGATAGAAAGAAAGAGGAAATGAGGGAGAAGGAAAGGAAAAAAAGCGAAATAAGCAAAACTTCGATTGGGAAGGGAAATATTTCGAAATAAGGATTTTTTCTAAATTGCCTGAAATTTTTGAGTGTTATTCTCGATTCTCGGGAACTGTACAATCCTAATATCCTAATAAACATCCTAATAAACAAAACCATTAATTATCATCATTGTCGACTACGCTCGTTTAACCAAGATCAACTCCTCCAATCTTCTTCTTTATTATAAATTTCTTCTCTTCTTTTACTGCTCTGTTTATTAATACTAAGTTTGCGAAAAATAAAGACTTATTAATCCTTCTACTGTATTGCAAACAATTCGAATATCAACCAACAAACAACCTTTCACGACAAAAATTTTTTGGTGCCACGAGCCGGGAACATGTCAAGCCACATCATCGCAAGCTTTCAACTGGCAAAGGAAAGGTTAGTCAGTCTTCTTAAAGAAGTAAATCAACTGGAGATCAGATCTCCAGATCCAAGTATGACAATAGAAGAAAAGGAAGATTTTTATGTGATAAGAAAAAGAGTGTTAGAAGATAAACTTCGAAGAATCCAATTATGCGTAACTACGCTTGAATCTATCAACGATAAATGGTTCACATATACTCAACAAATCGTCACGATGAAAAGAAGAGAAGAAGAGGAAGAAAAATACAAAACAGTAACAGAAGGTGACCAAGGAATATTTCAATTATTACACGAAGGAAAGGAAGCTGTAATAACACTGACAATGCACAAGGATGAAGTCGACCAAAACTTAAAACAACTCTCAAAAGAGTTGACGAACAAACAAACAAAAGAAGAAGCAAAATTTACTCCTTCTTCAAATATTAATGTAAATCTTCCTCATTTATCGCTCCCTACTTTCGATGGAGACCCTAGACAATGGCGACAATTTTGGAGCAGTTTTAACGCAGCAGTCCACACACCAGCGATTCCAGAAATACAAAAATTGAATTACTTGTACTCATGTCTTAAAGGAAAGGCTCTACAAGCAATATCTGGATATGATATAACTCCAGAGAATTATGAAGTTATCAGAAGACTGCTCAATGAGAAATATGGCGATCACTCAATAGTAACAACATTACTCTACAACGAACTTCAATCAATTAAACGAAATGAAAGATAATGGATTGGAACAATTGAAAATATAGAACGAGTACTACGCCAGTTAGAAGCTCTAGGAGAAAGCCTCGAACATTCAAATATTGAAATCTTGATCGAGAGCAAGTTGCCATTATGGATATTAAATAAAATATATAAACACAAGAAGAAGGACATGCCTTGGTCAATTCTCAAACTAAGAAACTTTTTAACAAGTTTAGTTAATGTGAATGAACAGATTAGAAACTGTCAACATTCACTCACTCAACTCAATATTAAATCTACAACTACCAAACCGGAACAAAAACAACGATACAATCCCGGAGGAACTTCAGCATTGTCGACAATAAAAGATAATCAAAATACTTCGAAAACTACAACAACGAAAAGACGACCATGTGTATTCTGCAATCAAGATCATTGGGACAGCGATTGCGTGAACTACACAATTCTCAATGCTCGGCTTAGTCGTCTCAAAGTGTTGAAGAAATGTACTATTTGTCTTTGTCAAAAAACAATGTTTTTATTGCAGAAGCTCACATAATAGTGCTTTATGTAATAAAAGGAATTCACTTTCTTTAAACAATACAATGTCTCAAAGAAATGGAGAGCATGAAAGAATTGGACCTTCGAAACGAAAGGATTGTTCAACTTCTCTCTATAACTCCACATTAACAACTCGATCCAAACAGACAAAGGAAACCTTACTTTTATGTAAGGAGATAAAGGTTTTTAATCCATCACAACCTCAACTACAACAAAATACCCTTGCATTATTTGATATTGGATCGCAACTCTCCTTCATCTCCAAAAAATTATCACGTCAATTAAAGTTAACCGAAACAGAAACTCAAATTATGAGAATAGCTCCATTTGGTATGAAAGAACCGAAATCATGTCCCACTGCTCGCATACAACTAAATGTGCTAACTACCGAAAGCGAAATCATACAACTACAAGCAAATATAATTGATTGTTTTCTAGTGATATTGTTATATCAGAAAAGAAATGGTATGAGTTAATGAATAAATCAAAATGTCTTCCAGTGATATATTATGTCAGTATAGAAGTGGCATGAATCAATCGAAATGTCTTCTAGTGATATTGTATAATCTGTAGAGAAATGGTATGAGTTATATCAGTAGAGAAGTGGCATGAATTGATCGAAATGTCTTCTAGTGATATTGTTATATCAGCAGCGAAGTGACATGAAATAAAAAAAATGTCTTCTAGTGATATTGTTATATCAGTAGAGAAATGGTATGAATTAATCGAAATGTCTACTGTGATATTGTTATATCAGCAGCGAAGTGACATGAATTAAAAGAAATGCCTTCTAGTGATATTGTTATATCAGCAGCGAAGTGACATGAATTAAAAAAAATGTCTTCTAGTGATATTGTTTAATCTGTAGAGAATCAAAATATCTTCTAGTGATATTGTTTCATTTGCAGAGAAATGGTATGAGTTAATGAATTAATCAAAATGTCTTCTAGTGATATTGTTACATCAGTAGAGAAGTGGCATGAATTAATCGAAATGTCTTCTAGTGATATTGTTATATCAGCAGCGAAGTGACATGAATTTAAAAAAATGTCTTCTAGTGATATTGTTTAATCTGTAGAGAATCAAAATATCTTCTAGTGATATTGTTTCATTTGCAGAGAAATGGTTTGAGTTAATGATTTAATCAAAATGTCTTCAAGTGATATTGTTATATCAGCAGCGAAGTGACATGAATTAAAAAAAATGTCTTCTAGTGATATTGTTTAATCTGTAGAGAAATGGTATGAGTTAATGAATTAATCAAATGTCTTCTAGTGATATTGTTATATCAGCAGCGAAGTGACATGAATTTAAAAAAATGTCTTCTAGTGATATTGTTATATCAGCAGCGAAGTGACATGAATTTAAAAAAATGTCTTCTAGTGATATTGTTTAATCTGTAGAGAAGTGGTATGAGTTAATGAATTAATCAAAATGTCTTCTAGTGATATTGTTATATCAGTAGAGAAGTGACATGAAATGAAAAAAATGTCTTCTAGTGATATTGTTTAATCTGTAGAGAATCAAAATATCTTCTAGTGATATTGTTTCATTTGCAGAGAAATGGTTTGAGTTAATGATTTAATCAAAATGTCTTCTAGTGATATTGTTATATCAGCAGCGAAGTGACATGAATAAAAAAAAATGCCTTCTAGTGATATTGTTATATCTGCAGAGAAATGATATGAGTTAATGAATTAATCAAAATGTCTTCTAGTGATATTGTTATATCTGCAGAGAAATGGTATGAGTTAGTGAATTAATCAAAATGTCTTCTAGTGATATTGTTATATCAGCAGCGAAGTGACATGAATTAAAAAAAATGTCTTCTAGTGATATTGTTATATTTGCAGAGAAATGGTATGAGTTAATGATTTAATCAAAATGTCTTCTAGTGATATTGTTATATCAGTAGAGAAATGTATGAGTTAATGATTTAATCAAAATGTCTTCTAGTGATATTGTTATATCAGCAGACGAAGTGACATGAATTTAAAAAAATGTCTTCTAGTGATATTGTTTAATCTGTAGAGAAGTGGTATGAGTTAATGAATTAATCAGAATGTCTTCTAGTGATATTGTTATGATAATAACAATATCACTAGAAGATATTTTGATTCTTCTACAGATTAAACAATATCACTAGAAGACATTTTTTTAAATTCATGTCACTTCGCTGGCTGATATAACAATATCACTAGAAGACATTTCGATTAATTCATGCCACTTCTCTACTGATATATACAATATCACTAGAAGACATTTTGATTAATCATTAACTCATACCATTTCTCTACTGATTATAACAATATCACTAGAAGACATTTTGATTAAATCATTAACTCAAACCATTTCTCTCTGCAAATGATAACAATATCACTAGAAGACATTTTGATTAATTCATTAACTCATACCATTTCTCTGCCAATATAACAATATCACTAGAAGACATTTTTTTAAATTCATGTCACTTCGCTGCTGATATAACAATATCACTAGAAGACATTCTGATTAATTCATTAACTCATACCACTTCTCTACAGATTAAACAATATCACTAGAAGACATTTTTTTAAATTCATGTCACTTCGCTGCTGATATAACAATATCACTAGAAGACATTTTTTTCATTTCATGTCACTTCTCTACTGATATAACAATATCACTTGAAGACATTTTGATTAAATCATTAACTCAAACCATTTCTCTGCAAATGAAACAATATCACTAGAAGACATTTCGATTAATTCATGCCACTTCTCTACTGATATAACAATATCACTAGAAGACATTTTGATTAAATCATTAACTCAAACCATTTCTCTGCAAATGGAACAATATCACTAGAAGACATTTCGATTAATTCATGTCACTTCGCTGCTGATAATAACAATATCACTAGAAGATATTTTGATTCTCTACAGATTAAACAATATCACTAGAAGACATTTTTTTAAATTCATGTCACTTCGCTGCTGATATAACAATATCACTAGAAGACATTTTGATTAAATCATTAACTCATACAATTTCTCTACTGATATAACAATATCACTAGAAGACATTTTGATTAATTCATTAACTCATACCATTTCTCTGCAAATATAACAATATCACTAGAAGACATTTTGATTAATTCATTAACTCATACCACTTCTCTACAGATTAAACAATATCACTAGAAGACATTTTTTTAAATTCATGTCACTTCGCTGCTGATAGAACAATATCACTAGAAGGTATTTTTTTTTAATTCATGTCACTTCGCTGCTGATATAACAATATCACTAGAAGACATTTTGATTAATTCATTAACTCATACCATTTCTCTACAGATTAAACAATATCACTAGATGACATTTTTTTTATTCATGTCACTTCGCTGCTGATATAACAATATCACTAGAAGACATTTTGATTAAATCATTAACTCATACCATTTCTCTACAGATTAAACAATATCACTAGAAGACATTTTTTTAAATTCATGTCACTTCGCTGCTGATATAACAATATCACTAGAAGGCATTTTGATTATTTCATTAACTCATACCATTTCTCTGCAAATATAACAATATCACTAGAAGACATTTTTTTCATTTCATGTCACTTCTCTACTGATATAACAATATCACTTGAAGACATTTTGATTAAATCATTAACTCAAACCATTTCTCTGCAAATGAAACAATATCACTAGAAGATATTTTGATTCTCTACAGATTAAACAATATCACTAGAAGACATTTTTTTCATTTCATGTCACTTCTCTACTGATATTACAATATCACTAGAAGGCATTTTGATTATTTCATTAACTCATACCATTTCTCTGCAGATTAAACAACATCACTAGAAGACATTTTGATTAAATCATTAACTCATACCATTTCTCTGCAAATGAAACAATATCACTAGAAGATATTTTGATTCTCTACAGATTAAACAATATCACTAGAAGACATTTTTTTTTATTCATGTCACTTCGCTGCTGATATACAATATCACTTGAAGACATTTTGATTAAATCATTAACTCAAACCATTTCTCTGCAAATGAAACAATATCACTAGAAGATATTTTGATTAATTCATTAACTCATACCATTTCTCTACAGATTAAACAATATCACTAGAAGACATTTTTTTCATTTCATGTCACTTCTCTACTGATATAACAATATCACTAGATGGCATTTTGATTATTTCATTAACTCATACCATTTCTCTGCAAATCGAACAATATCACTAGAAGACATTTTGATTAATTCATTAACTCATACCACTTCGCTGCTGATATAACAATATCACTTGAAGACATTTTGATTAATTCATTAACTCATACCACTTCTCTACAGATTAAACAATATCACTAGAAGACATTTTTTTAAATTCATGTCACTTCGCTGCTGATATAACAATATCACTAGAAGGTATTTTTTTTTAATTCATGTCTCTTCGCTGCTGATATAACAATATCACTAGAAGACATTCTGATTAATTCATTAACTCATACCACTTCTCTACAGATTAAACAATATCACTAGAAGACATTTTTTTAAATTCATGTCACTTCGCTGCTGATATAACAATATCACTAGAAGACATTCTGATTAATTCATTAACTCATACCATTTCTCTACTGATATAACAATATCACTAGAAGACATTTTGACTAAATCATTACCTCATACCATTTCTCTACAGATTAAACAATATCACTAGAAGACATTTTTTTTATTTCATGTCACTTCGCTGCTGATATAACAATATCACTAGAAGACATTTCGATTAATTCATGCCACTTCTCTACTGATGTAACAATATCACTAGAAGACATTTGATTAAATCATTAACTCATACCATTTCTCTACTGATATAAACAATATCACTAGAAGACATTTTGATTAATTCATTAACTCATACCATTTCTCTACAGATTAAACAATATCACTAGAAGACATTTTTTTTATTTCACGTCACTTCGCTGCTGATATAA